CTCAGTGTGGCCTTGAGGCACCTGGGAGTTGTGTTGATGGACACCAAAAATAACAATACAAGGCCACCCAGGGCTACTTAAGTGACACAGACAAGGGCTGTAAGAATTCAGAGTCCTTCCCTCTGACTCTCAGGGGACGGAGGGAAGGCTTCTGGAAGGGAAGGGATTAAACATGTAGGACATAATACCACAGCACGCTCAGCACACTTGATCCCTCCCTTGAAGAGCTGGGAGGTGGCCAATCAAATATTTTAAGATGTCAACTTGATCTGTGTTAACATAAGCATCTACGGAAACTAGTTTCCAAAAATAAATGATAACTGCTACCTCTCCACCTCTGTAAGGGCATGCATTTCTCGAGAATGGGGGCATGTTCTGGAATACTGTCCACAGCTGGTTTTACATGTACGTGTAGAACTTCTCCTTCTTGGATGATAAGTTTAGGGCAAGGGAGAAAGAGGAAGGAAGGGGTGTTAAAGTCCTACTTCAAATGTTAAAGTCTCCCCAAAATGTTAATACATGCACAGACAAGAGCTTGAGAACTAGAAACTAAATTTGTAATAGTGGTTCTTCCTGACGATTCTGGGGATAATTATTTTTTTTTCTTTCTGCTTATCTGAATTTTCCATTTTTTGGCAATGCAAACGTATCAGTTGTGTAATACTTTTTATGCAAATACATTCAGGAAGGGTAATGCGTCAAACCATTACAGTTATTAACACCTTAATACTAATTAATGGATGTGATTTGTTTCCTACAATGAAGTGGTGACAGGACACGGATTTTGTTAGGTCTGGGGTCTGCGAGTGTCCAGCAGTGCTGAGGGTGGGGAGGGGGGCAGAATGTGTAGAGACTCTAAAAGGGCAATGGGTAGACAAGCCTGGAGGTTAGTTCACATTATGCTTAGGCCTCCCAGGCCCTACCTAGTACCTCGAGGGCATTTAATTACAATTAAGGAGAGCCGCAGTTAACCTTCTTCATGCAAGGCTTTGCCCAATGATTCTCTGTATAAATTATTTATCCTTACATTCAAACTCTAGCTTTCATAACAAACAAGAAAAAGTTTGTGGATTTTAATAATGATTTTAAACTAAAGAAAAACAAAGGATTCTTCCCCAAACTTTTGGCATTTTGTCTTCCATCAAGCCAGTCTCTGACAAAGTGTTATTTTACACTTTCATACTGCAATCTGTAGACTTTTCCTGGAGCCCGGGTGCTAGTACTCCAGGAGCTGTAGAATTGACATAATTAAATACAAGGAAACTATCGGGCGCCTGGGTGGCTCAGTCGGCTAAGCGACTGCCTTCGGCTCAGGTCATGATTCTGGAGTCCCGGGATCGAGTCCCTCATCGGGCTCCCCGCTCGGCGAGGAGCCTGCTTCTCCCTCCAACCCTACCCCCTCTCATGTAATCTCTCTCTCTCACATTCTCACTCTCTCAAAATAAATAAATAAATCTTAAAAAAAAAAAAAATACAAGGAAACTATCATTTAGACCAGGTGGGATTGGTTATGCTGATTCTTTGCCTCAACCTTATCTGGAAAGGAAGAGTTTGCAAAGGAAATTTACAGTGTAAACAATACTGGGGAGGGACGGACTGTTTGCAGGAATCTAGTTACCTATAATATAAGCCATTAGTAATCTGCAAATCATTTCATATATTCATCAAAGCAGGCCTTCTATGGTTGGCTCCCAGGCAGCAAATGCGAAGGGATGGGGGGAGGGGACGGGGGGGTATTAAAGTAAGTTAAGGCCCCAAGCAAAATTTAGACTTTTAAAATAAATTTTGAACTATCAGACTCCAAGTAGCTAGAGATACTGAGGCTTGATGGGGCAACATTGAAGGTAGTGACTTATTTAATTGAATCCCAGATACCATCAATTATAAGATGCATCATACTTTGAAAGAAAAAGAAAAAGCACTGCCAACTAACTATGGCCCAGCAACTGTAAAACGCTAATTTTTTAAAAATATTAAAATATTGGTGACTAACATAATAAAAAAATAAAAATAAATTTTAAAATATTAAAATATGGAGAAAAAAATCTATCTTAGGATCAATGAAATAGAGTACTGTACACCTTGTCCCCAACTCTCTCTGACGGGGAGGAGGGCTTCTATCTACCCTGATCTGTTAGACTTTCACACCGGGACACCAATGTCTCCCCAACTCCCTTAATTGTGAAAACATTTTGATCTGTCCTTCTTTGGCAGCAGCGCATATCTGTACTCCAAGTTCCTGTCAAAGTCTATAATCCCCATTTCTCTCCCATTCAACACTCAGCAAAAATTCTGTTGAGAGACATCATGTTTTCAGGACTGCCTGCAGGATCGGCAGCCCATCTATTTTTCTCTACTCTGTTTACCCTTGGATTGAGCTAGTTCAGCAGAGAGCAGAGTACCGGAAACAACTAGGTAATCCCTCATGGAAAGGCTTTTAGACTCTCCGTCTGGCATCCTGCCTTCAGCCCACATCGGGGACACCGTTAGAAACAGCCAGTTATCCAGGACCTGCAGTCAAGGACACAGTGTTCTCTTCATGGGGGCCCACTGAAGACAGTTTCCAGGTCTTCATACCAGGGATTTTTAAAAATAAACTTTTAAAATTGAGGTAGAACACATATAGAGAGAAGCATACCATTCATAAGCGTATAGCTGAATTATCACAAATTAAGACTACCACGCAAATGAGAAAAATAGATTACCAGCATCTCAGAAGTCCCCTCATGACTTCTTTCCCCATCGCTACATCCAATCGTCTTCCCCAAAGGCAACCTTTACCCTGTTTTTTTTTTTTAAGATTTTATTTATTTATTTGACAGAGAGAGACACAGCGAGAGAGGCAACAGCAGGTGGAGAGGGAGAGGGAGAGGCTGGCTTCCCGCTGAGCAGGGAGCCCAATGCGGGGCTCAATCCCAGGACCCTGGGACCATGACCTGAGCCGAAGGCAGACGCTTAACGACTGAGCCCCCCAGGCGCCCCTTTTACCGTGTTTTCTAACACCACAGTTTGACCTGTTTTTGGACCTTCTATAAATAAAATCCTACAATATATATTCTTTTAGTCTGGTTTCTTCCGTTTATCATTATGTCTGGAAAATTCATCCATGTTGTTATGAGTAACCTAGTTGTTAAGTTTCATTGCATAGTAAGCAGTCCATTGTATGTCTGTATCACAATATATTCATTTAGGTTGTTTCCAGTTTGGGATTATTAAGTGAATAATGCTGCCATTCTCGTGCACAAAGCAAGCATTTCTGTAAGGTATACACCTAAAAGACAGAGAGAGAGAGAGAGAGAGATTGAGAGAGAGTGTGAGCATGAACAGGGGGAGGGGCAAAGGGAGAGGGAGGGAGAGAATCCCAAGCAGACTCCCCACTGAGCCCCTACCCCTGCTTGTGCTCTCTCTCTCTCTCTCAAATGAATAAATAAAAAAAAAATCTGAAAAAAAAAAACACAAGTTCATCAAGTTTCTTTATTGCAGGACTTCTAAAGCCTTAATGTGATAATATAAGATTCCTCACACTTGTCTGGCTATACTTATTCAATATTCAACAAATATCATTGTCAAGATACAGTGCAGAGAACAGAAATCACTCTAGGAGATGTGAGGATTTAGCCCAGGGAATTAGGTGCTTACAAAATTCACTGGGAGGCTGCAAGAGCAGATCCTTGGCTAAGCTTCTAGGAATGACTCCCAGATGCCCACAGAATGAACCCTCCCCCGAGGGAGGCAGTACCAAAGAGGTCACCACTGGAGCTACTCAGCCCACAAACACTTTATTCTTGTGCCCCAACTCCAACTGCCTCTCAGTACCTGGGAAATGGAACACAAATGCCAAAACCCCTCACGGGTCACCACAAAACAGCAATAATGATAATAATGATAATAAGTAAATAAAAGAAAAAGAAAAAAAAAGGAGGAAGAGTTGAAATGATATCCACGCTTTTACCCTCCGGATCTCTCAGAAGTATTTCTGAAAGGTGAAACCAATTTTGCATCCAGGACCACAGCCTACATATCCTCTGCAGGATAAGACAACTAGAAGGAGGGGACGATGCAGACCGAGCTCGCAGAGCTACAGGATCCACCGTAACTCACCACGTGCCTGGCCTGTGTGCCAGACACTTTTCTAGGCAGAGGATACATCTGTGAGCTCAGATTTGAGTAAGAAAGGCATGTGCTGAACAAGTTCATGTAAGTGCCTGCCCCCCACCTCTGACAGACCTGATACAATTGCTTCCCCAAAACTGGTGTTTTATGAGACACAACGTGGTCATGCTTCCCTCCTGGTATTGGAGGTAAGTGCCAAATCTGTGTGCTTCACTTCTACCCATTACATACGACATTATGGCATGCATTAACTTTAGGGTCATCTTATTATTTCCCACTCTTATTTTCCCTGGGTTCCTATTTCCCGATTTACTTTTTTGTCATACTGTGCAGTGTATTTCTGTAAGGCACCTCAATCTTCCTCCTTGAAACAGGACAGATATAAATCAATCACCCGTCCGTGTGTGAATCCCCCGAGCTCACCTGTGAGGAGTTAGCCCACTCACAGGGTTCTCCTACTAGCATTTTTGTTGGCTTCACAACTTGGACAAAATACAAATGTAAAACAGAAGCATTCATTTCATTTCTGGCTTCACTTTGGTAACCAAAAGACAAGTGAGAGGCTTAAAAGTTGAGGCAACAATACTTTCTTGGAATAAAAAATTAATAGGCTCTACAGTATTTTATGATAATTGGCTTTATTAATGTAGAACAATTAATGCTAGCCATAAAAACATATAATCAAACGGGTTATTATTACAAGTTAAAATTTATTCTCTGTTCCCCATATTGTAATTTAATTGAAAAAAAAAAACTTGCCACCATACAATCAATTTGAAATAGGCTGTTTAGGAACAACAGTAGAAAAAGAAAGTGTACACAGGAATGCATTACATTTTGACCAGCAAAAAGGTTTGACCCATTCTGGCTTATAAAGCAAGATACCAGTGTCTGTGATTTTGAAAATTCACTGAAACTTTTTCCCTGCACTGGTTCCTTTGTAATACATTTTCCTGAGTTCCACCCATGACTGCCACAGTAACAGCCCTGGCATCAGAACCCACACACTATTGAAAAATACCAGATAGACCCCAAAGTAGAGCCAGTTGTCGGTGTTGAGGTTGGGGCTTCCCATAAGCCAGTCTGGGAAGAAGGTCATCCACCCGCCATACAATTCACACACGCACAGGGTAATCTGTATGAAATGCCTGTTAGAGAGAGAGAAACAAGAGCTCAGCGCAGCTGGGCACCCTGAATCCTGAAATCTTGTCTTAGATGTCAGCATTAACACAGTCTTCCACAGCAGAAGACCTCTCTGAAGTCAGACCTCAGGTTTTGCACAGCGCTCCTTTGATGGGGCAAGTCAATCTGATTAGTGGAAGATCCATACATCCTCTCGAGGAGCAATACTGCCCTTTCTAGAAGATTATTCTCAGAGTTAAATAAGGTCTCTCAGGTATTCTGTTCTATTCCCAGGAAGATTTACTGAGGTCACACCTCACCCAGCAAAAGAGACTGAGATGCGAATCTTGCTACAAGCCACAATTTTACCTGCTGGAAAAGGGGATAGTAAGAACAGTACCTTCCTCAAAGAATACAGTGGGCAGTGAGTCTACAACGAAGGTCATGGAGCCAAAGTTACATCAAGATACCAAGAAGAAATTTAATTTTTCCTGCTAACTATCTAAGTAAAATTGGGTGGGGAAAGGTGGATTAAATGACCTTGGAGGTTCCATTCAAACCTGAAATCTTGTGATTAAAGCTTTAAAAATGACTTCTTCGATTCAAGATGCTAGAAAATGGAAAGCAATTGTGCCTACTTGACATTGTTTTTGGGAATCATCCCCCGGAGAGCATTCTATTTGCCCCAGGTCACTGTGTCTGAGCGAAGGAGAGGAAGGGAAAGGGTAGGAGGGAGGGTAGAGAGTTCCACGTCTCCGAGTCCGAGTCCAAGTCTGACTGACGCCAGGCGGTTAATCTTCCATCGCCCCCTCCCCTACCCCTCCCCTCTCTTCTGCCTTCCTCACATCCTCCATAACCTGCTTCTGGAAAGATTTATCTTGCATGTCTAACTCCAAATTACATAAGAAAATTTACTTGCTGTAAAGTGGAACACAAGTTTTCTAGAGTGATTTGCATGGGGGATGAGGAGGAAGGATGGAAGTATGACCCTTTTATTCTCCAAAATATTGCTGAAAAATCATCCAATGCTGTTCACACTTTCTTGCCCTATACAGTGACTAGGTGGTTCCTACCATATTTCTCATAATTTTTATTTTGAACAATCTGAAATTATCTGGTGGCACCACGATTCTTACCTAACAGAACACTTTTCATTTCTACTCTACTTTTCATCTAACAAATAAATGTGGTCATCATCTACTCCAAACACCACATGGGCATTGGGACAGCTCATGTGTGTCCTCTCTTCAGCAGGCCGGGAGGAGGCACTTACCGATAATATTTCTCTTTGACTATGGCATAAATGAGGACTAATGCCAGAGACCCATCCAGGACCACAGTCAGAATTTCCAAAGACACAATGGTTGGGTCAAAATAAAGCCATCTTGCATCAGCTTTGCCATATTCTTTCCCTACAAGTGAAATACATTTTGTTACTCATCTGGCAACCATTTTTATGACAGTCAGTGGAAATGACCTTTTTTTTCCCCTAAGGAGGAGAAAAAAAGAACTGCCGCCCCTCCCCCCGATTCTTCATAATGCCTTCATGGAACACAGGAGAAGGACTGACGCTAAAACCCATTTGCTGCGTGACACGAGTAATAATAACGACGTCACGTGACATTTGTAAAAAGGATTTTGGTTCCCAAAGCACTTTCACACAGGCATCCTCTTCGCCCCCGCCCTTTTCACTATAAGCAGAATTCTAAATTAATTCAGCTCGGTCAGATTTTACAAAGACGATCCTTAATAATTATCTTGGTAAACGCGTTACAATTCCTTACTTCAAAATTGCTATGTAAAGTCTGTAGGTATAATATAGACGTGGGAAAATTTTTATTAAGGAAACGTTTATTTAAAAAAGTGTCTATTGGGGCGCCTGGGTGGCTCAGTCGGTTAAGCGACTGCCTTCGGCTCAGGTCATGATCCTGGAGTCTCAGGATCGAGTCCCGCATCGGGCTCCCTGCTCAGCAGGGAGTCTGCTTCTCCCTCTGACCCTCTCCCCTCTTGTGTTCTCTATCTCTCCTTCTCTCTCTCTCAAATAAATAAATAAAATCTTTAAAAAAAATAAAAAAAATAAAAAAATAAAAAAGTGTCTATCAATAATTGAAGAGAAATTGAGTGCCGAGGGGATGGTGGGGGGCATGGTAATGACACAGCCTGGACTACGGAAGGGGTCCCGGATGGACACGGGTGGGGGCGCATTTCAGTGCAGACAGGAGTCACTAAGAACAGCCACCACAAAAGCCTCCGCTCTGGTCAGCAGGAAGTGGGTGTGCCCTAAGAAATCTTTCCAGACCCCATTATCAGGATGGTTTCTTCTAGAAAGAATGAAGTGAGAAAGTCATTTTGGAGCTGGACTGAGTCATGCACTGGGAGAATCCTCCCTCCCTCCCCCCCTTCCTTCCTTCGTTCTCTTTCCTCTCTCTCTCTTTTAATTTATGAAAGTAATACATGCTGCTCGTAAGATCTCAAATGATCAGAGTGAAAAAATGAAAGTCCCACCTCTTCTCGCTTTGATACTGTTCTCACATTACTTAGAAAAGGCATGAATGATCAAATATCAGCTACATTATCTGATGGGTCGGAGCAGCAGGACAAAGCTCTTGTCTCTATTAATGGCCCAAGTGATGATCCCTCGGGGCCAGGGACAAAGGGTTCTAATGAAGGCTGTCCTGGCAGAAAGAAAGGCCAATAAACAGGATTAGCCATTTAATGAGATAATACACCGACACATGCTGAGCAGAGACTCTGAAAGGCCAGACACCACAGACGGGCCAGGCAGAGCTGCCCTGTCTGTCCCGAGCCGACGGCCAGCCAGGAGCTAACTGGAAAACAACATAATAGTGAAAGTAAGTTTTTCCTCTAAATCTAAACATATAAACGGGGGCGCCTGGGTGGCTCAGTCCGTTAAGCGTCTGCCTTCGGCTCAGGTCACGATCCTGGGATCCTGGGATCGAGCCCCACATGGGGCTCCCTGCTCCGCGGGGAATCTCCCTCTCCCTCGGCCCCTCACCCCGCTTGTGCTCGCTCTCTCTCAAATAAATAAAATCTTAAAAAAAAAAAAAATAAACGCATATGCAACATCTGAAACGTTCCCTCTAGTGCACCCAAAATCTAAGGAATTATCACTAATGTAAAATTTCAGTGCTTTAGGAACTAAGAGATCAGTGGGTGTTTAGACATGCAAAAATAACCCCATTCATTCATTCTTTAATTCAGCAAAGCCTCCGGAGCACAGGAAGGCTCTGTGCTGGGCCTGGGGCATGCAGTCTTAACTAGGACGGGGGACACAGGTGACCCCCTAGGGTCTCCCTTTCTGAGGTCAAACTGCACAGTAAGTGACGGTAACTGAACGTGGGACGTGGAGAAAGAGACACTTGGGCCAGGTGAGGGAGGTGAGGTAGTGATCACTTCCACCTTCCCGCTGTTGGTGAGGAGGGACCCCCAGCCTCGGGTTATGGGGGTGGCCACACACAACAGGTGGCACTGGACGGATGAGGCTGATGGCAATTTACAAGTCACATACACTCACAGCCTGGAGAAAGGGCACTGCGCGCCACCGGGCCATGCGCGGGCTGCACTCAGAACCGGAGCGAACCGGGAAGGGCCCGTAGGAGGCAGGCTCCGCAGCAATGAGGCAGGGGCGGCCCCTGGTTCCTGCGCCAGGAACGGCTTCTTCCAGTAATCCGGGGGGCTGTCAAGGAACTGAAGCCTGCTCCTGAGGGATCCGCGGGCACCGTGCCTGGTCCTTGGGACAAGGAGGGTCGTTTGGGCTCATAGGAGGAAGCAAAAGTGCGGAGGGGCCTTGCAGTTAGGCCATGTGAGGCCCTCTGGATTTTATCAGCTGTCAATACATAATATTGGATCTTAATTTCAGGCCTTATACCACAAAAGGTGACCCCTGCACAGGGCGAAGCGGAGGGTGTTTCAGGGAGGAGCATGCCCAAGGCACAGGCCTGGAGTGAAGAGAGCAAAGTATGGCTGAAATCCTGTTTAACTCAGCAGAGCTGAAGTAGAGAGAGAGAGAGAGAGAGAGAGAGTGTGTGTGTATGTGTGTGTGTCTGCCTGCCTCAGCACAGCTGAAGGGGGGGGGGGGTCGAGGTGAATGCCCCAGAGGAAGGCCGTCCCAGTGCATCAAGCCTCTGGTATCTTCTCCTCTCCTGCTCAAGTCTGGCCATTTCTCTGCTGGGTAAACACCTACATAGCAAAGGGCAAACAGAGCATTCAAAAGCCTAATGATGGGATAGATGCCATTTATTTTGCGACTGATGCCAGGCTCAGGCAGAGGTTTAGACGGAAAGACGCACTGAGGGCTGGAGTAGGATCCCAGTCCCTGAGTCATGGCTGGGCCCTTCACCCCTAGAGCGGAGATTAGGAGAGGGTGAGGGGTGACAAAGACCGTCTTCTTGACCCAGCTTGAGTCAGGCTCCTCCGAGCCCTGTCCTTGACAAGGCCTCCACCTAGTGCTCTGTCCTTGGCCCACTTAGTCCGGTTCCAGCAAGAATCCTACTGAGTCAGTGTAGCAAAAGTCCTCCATTCTTGGTATTTGCTCACTCCACCCCCCCCCGCCCCGCCGCCGACAGTTTTATTGAGATGTAATTGACATCTAGCATTGTATGACTTTAACATGTGCGTCATGATGACTCGGCTTACATACATCAGGAAATGATTAAAATGCGTTCAGTGAACATACATTCTTCATATAGACACAAAAAATAAGAAAAGACAGTGTGTTCTTCCTTTTGATGAGAACTCTCCGGATCCATTCTCTGGATAACTTACAGCAGTGGTAAACAGAGTCATTATATTGTGCATTATACCCTCCACTTACCTATCTTGGAACTGCAAGTTTGTACTTAGTCCTTTATCCAATTCCCTCAGTCTCCACCCCCCCCCACCTCTGGGAACCACAAATCTGATCTCTTTCTCTATGAGTTTTTTTTTTAAATTAAGATTCCACATAGAAGTGAAATCATACAGTATCTGTCTTTCTCTGTCTGGCTTGTTTCACTTAGCCTAATGCCCTCAAGATCCAACCATATTGTCACAATGGCAGAATTTCTTGCTTTTTTATGGTTAAATAGTATTCCATTGTGCCCGTGTGTGTGTGTGTGTGTGTGTGTGTGTGTGTGTGTGTACATACACATGCACAAACACCCCAAACTTCTTTATCCATTCACCCACCGATGGACACTTAGGTTGCTTCCATGCATTGGCTATCATGAATAATGCTACCATGAACATGGGGGTGCAGATACCTGATTGCTCTTGATACCTGATCAAATTCCTCATCCCCCACCCTCTATATTATATCCTATCATCCTGGCCTGCCTGCAGCAAGATTCCTGTTGAGTCGGTCTATTAAAAGTCTCCACTCTTGATGTTTCTTCTTAGTAATTTTCCATCCACTGACCCCACTAGCTTCTTGGCCATAAAGCTTCACCTGTCCTTGTTGCATCTGGACTTGAGCCCGATCTCGCTTCCCTACTGCAAGACTCCACCGTAGGGGTACCTCCTGAATAAATTCTTCTTTATCATCTTGAACAAGTGTCATGAGTAATTCCTCTTTAACAGGGTCCATGTGATGTTTATAGCCCAGCTCTACATCCTGGTGAATCAAAGGACAGTCCGCAGATCAACGTCTGGGAGGCTTTACCATAGACGCTCTGAATCAGAATCTGTATTTTAACAAGAGTCCAAGGCAAGCTGGTGCACTTTAAAGTCCGAGAAGAACTACTTTACATTAGCTACTGGATTTTCATTTTCTCAAGAATAAAGGACACCACCATTAAATGAGTTGTTACTTTTTTTAAGGCCAAAAAATGTAAACTGAAGATGACTGATAAAGATCATGTTAGACATTTGCATTTCATGGGACTGGGCCAAAGCTGGGCCGTTCACTTTCTCTGATGCCAGGCCAGGCAGCCAGGGTGGAGGGCAATGACTTAGGCTGCGTCCTCCAGCCCCTGGGCTTCCCCAGCAACTCTCAGGCACAGTTTAATCCGGCCCACTCATCACATCACACACACGAATGTGCACAGCAATACTTCCCTCCTGAGGTGGGGGCTCAGGCTCCCTGAGCTACCCCTGGCTGGGACCTGACAGGCATCAAAGACAACACACATTTTGCTTTGAGAAGCACTAACGATAGTTGCCTGGATTCCCTCGAAGTTCCCTAACTCTAGTGATGAACAGCAGTCTGGACATAGGTCCTGGCTGAAGGACCTGATTTCAGAATTATGGAAGAAATGAGATAAACAATGCAGAATTTCTGATGCAAAGTCTCAAAGAAGTTACCTTGCATAAGGCAATTCTATAATGGTGGTGAAGGATCCTGTTGCTGCCTGGCTCATTTGTTTGTCAAATTTGACACAGTACGGGGGAGGAAGTCGATACTAAGTGATGGAATGTTGACTGATTTACAGCAGCATGAAGAAGGTAGGCAAAACTAGTTAATACCTCTGCAGAGCCAGAGAGGCTTTGGAAATTATCTTCAGGACTACATATATATATATACACACACACACACACACACACACACACGCATATACACACACATATATAGACCTCGTATGTATATATGATAAAGTGAAGGTTGATGTTAAAAGTATGGAAAAGCACCCAGTTTAAATACTGCCAACTCTTCAATCTGCAGTATAAACATATTTTTTAATACATAGCTTTATTGAGATATAAATCACGCATCATACAATTTACCCATTTAAAGTGTACAGTTCAGTGAGTTTTAGTATATTCACAGATTCGAATCATCACAATGAAATTTTAGAACATTTCATTAACTCCCCAAAAGAAACCCAAACCCCTCACTCTCCATCCCCCTCCTCTGTCCCCCCTCTCTAGTCCTAGGCAACCACAAATCTATCATCTGTCTCTAGAGATTCACCTATTCTGGACATTTCATATAAATGAAATCACACCATTTGTGTGACAGGGACTCATTTAATTGACAGCCATACTTGCAATTAATCTCCTCAAACATTCCAAATGCAAACATTTTAAAATTACTTACACAATGAAGCAATCAAGCCTTCGGAATCCGCAATGTTTCCTACAAAAGATAAGTAGACAAAAGGGCCTTCCTGGGGAGAAGAAAATGAAATCAGGCTCTAATTTAGCATCACAGCCACAGGATGGCACCGCAGATGCGTGGCAGCGTCCCCAGGAGCCCACATCCTGGTCCGCACCCTCCGCACCTCCACGACCCCGTGGGGTGTGAGCCTGGAGCCTGACCACCCCCCCCCGACCTTGCAAAAAGATATGTCCAAAGGGAATGTTTATCTAATAAATGCTGTTTTTCAATGATTGGCATGATAAAAATCAGAAGTGTGTTCTTATGGCGAAAAATACATTGAAAATTTTGCACAAGAGTTTAAATGTTATATTAAATAGGCTAAATTCTGGATTATTCCAGTGATTTTACACCTTTGAGAAGTACCTCACAGCAGTTCATTTTGTCTCGCCTCAAAAAACAGCCAGGATCTCTCTTAACAAAAGTGGCATTTACATATCTATGTCGGAGTTAAACTAGTTCTTTTTCCTGCATAAGGGCAAATTTAGGAAAATTAAAATCCTTACAGACTACATTTTAAATTTTAGGTAATGAAATATCTGCAGTTAAACTGAGTACTTTCCTATCACTGAAGTGCTTCTTTGCTTAAATTCAAAACTAATTAATTAGAATTCACTGGGGTATCTAATTGTCATGTTGCTCCTTTGAACACATTTTATTGCTGGTCACTAAAACTTCTTTTCCCATTTCTTTTTACCAATGCAGTTGCTTATATGACATTAAAATGATGTCTCTGCCTAATCCCTGCTCACTTACAGCACTACTTCCCAGAGGTTATCACTTAGAGCTGCATTTAGTACTGGGGATTATCATCATAACTCACAATATACTTACACTGCTATTTCTTTAGATATTCTCAACTGACTGCCAATCCTGAAAAATTATGATTTAACTTATGTCTCCCCTCTGCATCTCCACTTTTTACAGTGTTTTGATAGTGTAGGAGAGGAAAAACTTCCTTCTGCCCTCTGACGCTGTAGCTGGCCTAAGAATTAACTGACATGACAGACTAACAGGAGGAAAGCACATGCATTTTATTCACTATTTTTACATGTACATGGAGTCCTTAAAAGAAAAACAAAGACCCAAAGAAGCTGTTAGGCCCAAAAGCTTGTATACTTTGTTTTACACAAAGAATGATAAATTACGGAGATGTGACAACACAAAGGGGCATGGACTAGGGGACAGTAAATTGTGGGAAAGTGACTAAGAAATATATGAGGGAAAGCAGTGGAAGATAAGGGTTATTTTAGTAGGTTTGTTCATATAGGTCCATTTCAATATTGACTCCCAGTCTCCGGTGATAAGAACGTTCTTCTCTTCCTGGTGCAGGGAGGGCACCGTTCTCATGGGAAATTTAATGACCTGATTTTAGGTAGAAAGGAGGAGGTCAGAGAGGCCTTCCTGCATCTGCTTTTTTCCAAATGCCTTCAGCTCATAACCATCAATATGCCAAAATGTCATAGTTTGGAGTGGCATGTCCTGAACCACTCCCCCCCTTTTAAAGATTTATTTTATTTATTTGAGAGAGAGAGAGACAGACAGAGAGAACACGAATGTGTGTGGG